TTAAAACATATGTAGGTATTTTAAATGATAAAGAATGCTAATATAGATATAAAATCGATATTCTTTTTGAAAACAGCCTACTATGATCGAAATCAAAAATGCTTTAAATTGCATTTTAAAACATATGTAGGTATTTTAAATGATAAAGAATGCTAATATAGATATAAAATCGATATTCTTTTTGAAAAAAGCCTACTATGATCGCAATCAAAAATGCTTTAAATTGCATTTTAAAACATATGTAGGTATTTTAAATGATAAAGAATGCTAATATAGATATAAAATCGATATTCTTTTTGAAAATAGCCTACTATGATCGAAATCAAAAATACTTTAAATTGCATTTTAAAACTATCTAGGTATTATAAATGATAAAGAATGCTAATATAGATAAAAAATCGATATTCTTTTTGAAAAGAGCCTACTATGATCGAAATCAAAAATGCTTCAAATTGCATTTTAAAACATATGTAGGTATTTTAAATGATAAAGAATGCTAATATAGATATAAAATCGATATTCTTTTTGAAAATAGCCTACTATGATCGAAATCAAAAATACTTTAAATTGCATTTTAAAACAAATCTAGGTATTATAAATGATAAAGAATGCTAATATAGATATAAAATCGATATTCTTTTTGAAAACAGCCTACTATGATCGAAATCAAAAATGGTTTACATTGCATTTTAAAACATATCTAGGTATAATAAATGATAAAGAATGCTAATATAGATATAAAATCGATATTCTTTTTGAAAACAGCCAACTATGATCGAAATCAAAAGAGCTCAAAGTCGTTTCGAGATTTTTATTGACTCCATACAAAATTACGTCTACTTAGAGATCTGTTCTTAACTAATGATGATGACATAAGCAATAATGATGTTAAGAGATCACAAAATGGAAATGAATATTCATTGATGCACAAAAGAATTCACGTAAAGCCATAAAGTAATTGATTTTGGATTTATTTAATTAAATTAGTACATGGCAGACTTGAAAATGAAGCATGCTTGAAAAGTATACTGGTTCTATGTATTTGCTATGCATCAAGTTGGACAACTTTTCAAATTCCAAAATCCAACCAGGGAAAAAATTTAAGCTGGTTAACAACGAAGAAATGTTTATCAAACATTGGTTTTGAATGGCGTTACTAAAGAGTTCTGTGGGAAATATTGGTATCAATGTAGAGCAAACAATTTAACTTTGAGCTAGTCAAATGCAAAGGAGACATCAATTTAATCAGAGGAGTAATTTGTGCTGGTTTTTGGAAACTCCTTATAGTGCGCTATTTTGGAAAGACATTTAACTTAAGGTAAAATACTCAATCTAAAAAGTCTTTTATTTCAGAGCTTACATTCAATAATCGATTTACTTTATAAATTTTAAACGAACAAAAGCTAGAAGTTTCTCAAATCCTTAAACAATGCAAAAGTACATACAAGACGTAATCCTTCATCAATTCTCCTTTGATTTTCTGATCAGGGATATTAATATTTTTATTATTCCTCATATTTAATGCTTTACCTTCACAGAACGAACGGTTACAAAGCTAATTGAAGAGAGCATTATGAAGAGCTCCTTTCTGTACTTTATAAAATCATTCACATCCATAAATCGGCTTTAACTATTCATTCATCTTGCAGGCATACAAGAACCTTGCATTAATCTTTTTCAATGCTAAACATTCAACTCATAAATGCTTCGAGCATTTTTTCATTCCTCAGTGATCACTTTTGATTGATATGATGTTGAAAGCATCGACTATACGGAAAGGAGTGACGACATTCATGATTTTTATTTCCAAGTCATAATCAAATTAATTATCAACGGTTCGCTAGCTCAAGCTGTAAAATAAATTTGCAGCATCTATTAAATTAGCCATAGACTGTGAAAATTGTTTGCATAGAAGTTTGTCATCATGTGCTGAAAGAATCAATTTGGAATGAGAACTTTAAATTATTCAGAACTTCGATATTAGGCAGCTGATGTATCTGCAAAGGAGTCATTAATCTGTGACGTCAAGCTTTTAATTGGTTGTGCTGTGTAGCTTGATTGTTGATATCCCTTCAAACCTGGACTTTACACTAATCTTGCTATTCATGCCACATCTACTCTCCCTAAATTACACATTCAGATACAGAACGGATGTTTTCAAGATCAAGTTCCTCGTTCGATTAAAGATCGGCAAATATATTTGAAAATATCATTATATAATCAATTTTCAGACTGACGTCACTCACGAACGACCCTAAACGATTCCAATTGGACATATTCCCAATGATTTTTCATTGCTCCGGATTTAAAGGCTTCTGGAAATCTTTATTACATTGTATTCATTCATCAAAATGGCAATATTTGTGTGAAAATTGATGAGCAAAGTACATGACTCACTCAATTGAGTTTTCTTCCTATAAAGACGTGACAACAAGTATAATGCTTATATTTACCATAAATTTATTCAAATGCACAATGATTCAGAATCGAAAAAAATGTTCAAAAATTCAAAAATTTCATGTTAATTAAACTATGTCCTTTAAATGCCAGATTAAAGATCTTAACTTGAGGCATATCCTATGAAAATATCTCGTCCCAATTTGATGTCTAACTCCAGAAATCATTAATTTAATCTCACCCAAAATTTGTTTACAATTTGTGTATGAAAAAAAAAATATGATTTTTTCTACTTTAAGTTGTTATTTGGATGTCTTGGAAGCAGTTACTAGCTAATTTAAGCTTAGCTTTACATACTAAAACAACCAACTCAATAGAAATCTGCGTATTAAGCCTTAAAAATGGAATTGAAATCTGAGTATTTTTACACTACTTAAACTATCCATAAGTTAAAAAGTCTTCCAAAGACCTCTCTGAAACCTATATAAATCCATTAATTAAGTTAAAATCTATCTCCCATATTACTGAGGACATGCCGTTTGATGCCGTTTTCGAGATATTTGCGATCAAAGTTTACATAAATTTTCATACAAAATTTGATCATGCACAATATTTTTTGATAAACTTTTACAAACTTTTGGTAAAAAATCATGTTTATCCTTTATATTAGGGACTAATTTTTTGAGCAATGAACGAAAACATTATGTAGATGATGCTAAAAGATTCAAATCAAGAGAAATTAACAAAAACTTTCAATTTTCTAATGTGTTGGAAAAATATTGTGCACAAGGAATTTTTGAACATTTTTTCCGAATCTGAATCATTGTGAAATGCAAACGGAAAAAGCAGAAGGGGAAGTGAAAAATTGCTGGTGAATTTATTTCATATCAAATGTAGAACGCCTGTTACTTACGTAATATAATGACTTTAAGCTCACATTGTGGCATCTAGGAGAAGTTTATGTGCTACATTACTATTCTAACCAATAATTTTAATTGTTGAAATGCAAATAATGTGAGGCATATCTAATTTCTAGATAAATAATTGAGAAATGGAAATAATTATGCTGAAAAGTTGAGAACTTAGTTCTACGGTTACAGTTGCTATAATTTAATCTGATAATGTAAATTATGAATATGAAACATCTTCAACATTTAGTTTAATCATGGAATAATTTTTAAAATTAGACGAAGCTAGTCGGTTCTTATAGATTTGAATTTAAACTAATCTATTCCAATTAAGCTATTAAATGGATCCATAAATGAATAATACCTTGACTGACTTGGCTTAAAGTTTCAAAATTACTATCAATAGCCACGTTTGCATTAAGGTGGTTGGCCATAAATTATCAATCATCATTTTTCATGCTTCCCGTCAGAGATTGTCCTTGATTTCTTACATTTGCTTGCCATTTTTACTACCTTTTATACATTAATATTCAGGCAATTAACTTCATGATTCTTAAATGATACGAGAACTTTATTATCATGTGAATATAAAGATGTTGCGAGAGCAAGAAGGAAGGAAAGTCAAATGCAGCTTACGAGATTCGATTTTATTCTCTTTCGAACATAAAACTTTTTTCTCCTAAATGTGAAGAAAAAAAAATTTATTTCATGAGAGAAATTAAAAGAAAAGGAAAGGAAAAAAAGGCAAGCAAGCAGCATAAGAGAGAAATAAAAAGCATGATAATGTTGTGTTTTTCCTTTCCTTTATCATGTGTTACCCAATGATTTGATTTAATTTCCTGCATGGCTCAGAGTATTTTAAATTTGATTTATTTTTCGCACGTTCTTAAAAAGTATGTAGCTGGTAGATGGGGGGCTGCTCAATTTTTTATGACATTTTATGCTGTACATATTCGTCTTGCATGCTGAGAAATTTATGACAGAGATGTGGATTTTTTTTTATGCGAGGAATATATTAGACACGTGTCTTTAATGACACGATAACACAGCAAGCAACAACAATAACATAAAATTATCAGCATTATTAATTGACGGAACATGAAAAATTTACATACGAATTTATGAGTAATCAGCTAATAAGGAACAATATTAACATTTTTGATCACATAAAACATTTTATTTGTACTTTACGAAACATTTCTAAATTCTTATCAGGTTTATTTATTGCATAGTTAATTGTGTAGACACGATTTACCTCAGCAATTGCCACAATGTGCTTTAAAATGTTAATAAATTGTAAACTTTTTAATAAGTTGTGCATATACATAATGAGTTATTTATTAGTGACGTCAAACATTTAGAAAATGTTCCATAACATCAGCGGTGTATTGCTTGTTCAGAAACCATTCCAATATATCCTTAACCAACCTTCCCTTTTCCCAAAAATGGACATCATTTATTAAATGAATTTTCAATGCAACAATTTTTTTATATCGTGCATATTTTGCTTTAATCACAGTTTGTGTTTCGTACGTTATATTATGAGCATGTAAAACAAATAAGCAAATCATATTATAGAAACAAAGTCAAAATTTTAAGCTACAACATATTTAAAAATTCAAATTCCCATAAAAAATTAACGGTTTTACAATTTTCAAATTAGTGCGTTATTTCCAGTGGAAATCGTTCCAATAAGTTTGTTTACATTCATTTGAGTAAAAAGTGTTTAGTCTAATTTTTTAAAATTCATAAAAAATGGATAGTAGCAAGAATGACAGCGCTATTGGAGACGAAGCAAAGATAAGGAAGCCTGCACCAGGTGATGGAATCAGATCATTAAAATCGAGCTATGCTTTTAGACTCATAAATTATGAATTATATGTAAAGCCAAGTAAGTCGATTGTTTTTATAGAATCAAATTTCACTTATTTCTCCGAATTAAGCACACATGCAGCATGTATTCATATTTCGTGTCTTATAATTTATTTACAGACATTGTCATCATGTCGATTGGGTTAATATCCATTACTGGTGTTTTTGGATATATTGCTTACATGAGACACAAATATGAAGGATTAGGATATTATTCAGCTGTTAAATCTGACGGAACTGAAGTATTTGAGAAGAAAAAGTCAAGATGGGAACAGTAACTTAAAATTAATATATTAGATTTCTTATTTAAAAAAATAGACTTTAATAAAACATTGTAAAAAGTAACAAAATGATCCAGTAAACTTACAGAACTGTCGTTTGTAACAAGTAATTATTTCTAATTACTTAAATACCTTTTATGATCCATTTTGGTTGCTTTCGTAGTCCAACTTGCTCTTGTACAAATGGCAAATTAATAATGGGAACTTTCCGTTCCAATACATCATAAAGTCTTCGTCATTATCTCCCATGATTCTTACAAGTTTGTCATTCGATGCATGTACATGGAGATTACGTAATTGTCTTAATAAACTTAAAATACTTGTTCCTTTGAAATCATCTTGATTAAGACCATTATTAGTCTGATATGTCTGTCGTATTTCTTGTAATGTCTGGATCACATGTCTTTCAAGTTTTAGGGTCCAATCACCATCAATGACTTTCTTACTTCCTTTAAATAATAATGATGTGAATTTTGAATCCTTTTCAGTTAATTTTGATACATCCACAATAAGTTTCGTCATTCGTTCAGCTGACCATGACCATGGATGTTCCTTAATTTTGGACATGGAAATTCTTTTGTTCGGTGCAAAAATCAGCATCTTTTGAATCAAATCTTTACATAAAACATTAAAGGCTGAATCATCTTTAATTGTATTAATTCGTGCTGCAATTTTGCCTGCTTGATTCTCATATTCCATTTGATGCATTTCGAATCCATTGGTCACAATAAAAAAGAATATACAGCCAAGAGAATAAATGTCTGAAGATAAGAATACCTTTTTTTGCTTAATAATTTCTGGTGCTGCATATCCATTGATATAATCGGTAAACTCATAAACTGTATGCTGTCTTTGTAATTTTTGCGATTTATGAAAATTAATTAATTTAATTTGATCAGTTTCGTCGTCAATATAAATATTTTTTGGGGATAATTCAAGATGCACAATACGATTTTGTTGAAGGTATGACATGACATCAGTTAATTGTAGCATTATTTTCATCTTCTGGGTGTAATTTTTACGTCCAATTGAGTCCTTTAAATTTGTCCCAAACTTCTCAGTCACTAAAAAGCATTCCTTTTCATTTATATCAAATGGATATAATACAATCGCAATATTTTGATGACTAAGTTGTGATAAGATATTTAATTCTTGTTCCATCTTCTTCTTTTCATGCTGACAAATTTTTTTAAGCCACACTTGCTGTTTTCCTGAATATCCAGTGAATATTTTGCCACCGTAATTAGTTCCATCATTACTTAACATAAAATCACTGATGTAAACTAGTATTGGGTTTTCACACAAAACAACGCAATTACTTTGTTCTTGTCTTGTTAATGATGATCGTATTTCCTGCCGTCTAATGTTAACAGTTGGTTGTTCTAATGATTAATTAATTAAGTTCAAATACTGTGGCTGAATATAAATTAAACAATTACCATCGTCACTCTCCTGAATACTACCGCAATTTCCCATTATAACCGGTTTAAAAAAGTTATTTAATTCACAGTACTTACACGAAATATATTAATAAGTCCGATTTATTCAACGTCCAATTTCATACTGTACTTCCAGCTTTCCAAAAATGCTTTTAAATATTCCAATATTCCAGTGTAATTTCCTGGAAGTTTTTATCGATGGAATGTTTGTAAACACTGATTATGATCGTTTAAGTGCCTTAATTAAGCTATTATTAGAGGACGCACGAAGTTTATATTTACGTTCTAGCTGAAATTAGATTGATTTAATGGGATTTAATGTATGTGTACCGTTAATTGGTATTAAAATAATCCTTGACTGTGTGTTCTTAAAACCCGTTAAGATTTGGAACCACGAAAATTCAAATTTTTAAAGATTTGAACTTTTGAAATTTTGAAAACTGCTAAAACTTATCTTTTTAAAAAAAATGACAAAATTTACCAATAATTTCAAATAGATTCTATGCTTGAATATTTCAGCCAGAAAAACCACTTCAAGCGACTGTATATCACAGAAAAAAACTGAAAACACAATGCAATCACGATAATAGCAGTTGACACATATATTTTTAATAGTAAAATCAATTTATTATGCTGTTTTTGCTATTTTCTTTTGTCAGTTTAAGTTAAATATTATTAAATAACATTTTCTTTCTATAAAAAACATTCTACATAAAAATAAAAATTTGATTCTCTACGTATGCAAAATAAATCATAAAATGAAACTTCTGTCTCAAGACTAGAGGATGAAGATTAAAATGCACGAATGAAAAGCATACAGTGAAGATCAAAAAACTTATACGAAATGCTAGATATTTTAAGTAAAAAATATAAAGGCGCTCAAAATGTTAAATTACTTTTGCCAAATTAATTAGTTTTGGGCATGAACTCTGTTATCAGCTTAACTATGAAGACATATTTTTAATACACATGAAAGACATTCACTCAAGTGATATGCCTTGAATCCATGCACTCAAGTCTGTCGAATCATTTTCCATGACAATCTCTTGCGGTGAATCCGGTCGATAAATAATTTGTGCTGTGTTCCTGCCACAAAGATATGCACCATGAACTGTGCTGTAAAAGTTTGAGTGGCAATGCTCACCAGCGAATAGAATCGACGGCTATAAGTTAAATGAAAGATGACTAAACTATTCAGTGCTGGAGATTGTAATCCTTACCTTTGATTGATGAGGATTGGAGTAAAGTGGTTGTGCTATATTCTCAATATCTTCCTGGGAAGCGCCAATGCCGATTGAAGTGTAACTTCCTTTCGTGTACGGCTGACTAAACCAAGTTGTTCTAAAATAACCAGTTTAAACATTAAAACTAGATCATAATAAGCACATCTGGATCTCATACTTAACACATTTTTTGGGAGCGGGAATGTAGGGATCTTTAAGGAACCGTTTGAGTAATTCAGTGCATTTGTCAGCTATAATTTGGTCGTCTATCATTTCCATATATTCAGCTTCCTTTCCACTAATCCATCCTAATAATAATCTATCATTGACTTTGGAGAATGAGTAAATTTTTTTATACCAAAATTCTTTAATTTGTTCTGCCGTTGGTTCATCATGCTGTGATATATCATCTTCCCATAGCAGCATAATTTCACTTACGTCTTGACTTAGAAACGGTCTATCATATTCGAGAAATATCTTGTTAACAGTTCCAAAAAGAAGACGATCAATTGATTCCTGCTTATATTCAGGCAGTGGTGGATCAAAGATTTTTGGATTATGTTTTAATACTCCCAAGGGAATAGTGCATATGACATGGTCAGCATAAAATACTTCATTTGTATCACAAATAATTTGCACGCGTCCATCATACTGAATGCTTTTAGGCTCTTCTGTTATCGTCTTGTCAGACTCATTTCCATCTTCTGATTCTTCTGGAATCTCATTTAAGCCACTTGGACTTGTTACTGGAGCCTTTTTTCTTTTCCATTTTATCGTTCTCACAGGACAGTTGGTAAGTATTGTATCTGGCGAGAGAGTAGCCTTTAGTGGATTTAATATAGAGCTATAGCCATTTGGTAATATTATATTGCCTCCTTGAAGCTCCGTGTAGCTTCCCAATTCTAAAAGATCTGAAAAGTTTTATCGTTAGAATATTTTTCTTTTATAAGCCTGTGTCCCATTTTAAGCCGCCCCTATAAGAAATATCATGGGGAGGCTTATAAGTGGGGTAGGCTTGTGATAGAAAATCTAATGCAGTAATTAAATACCTATTTCGTCCATCGAATGACATCCAGATATACACGTTTCACGCTTTAATAAGCAGTTTATAATCATCTCTCTCAGATTTTTTTCTTCTTTGTTACTAATAGATTTTAAATAAATATCAACTTCTAGCTTAATGTGTGCACCAACGGAATAGACATCCTCTGGTGGAGCATAAGTGCATAAGAAATATTCTTCACATCGTCGCAGAAATATCAAATAGGCTTCGTATATTTCTTGTAATGTCTCAAATGGAACTTGCTTGCCATTGTCTGTTAATGCTATGACTTTCCTACTTTGTGGAGCTGTTTGCTGTAGATTTATAAGATTATGTTGCATGGCTAATTCAAATATTGGATTTCCTGTAATTAAAAGAATTTGATACGTGAGAAAAATCATGCACAACTGGATCTCACTTGATCTTAAAATTTATGAAGGTTTATTAAGGAGGAATTCTTACCAAGCACTCCATGCACCCAGTTTGCGCCTTTAATTAAATATAAAATCATTAGTCACTAGCTTTATCAAGTCAGATCAAGTGATAAAGATAATTTCACAATCGTGCACTTTTGCAGACATCCAAATTTGGTCATAATATAGCATGTCATAAACAAATTAGCTTCCTACCTAGTTCAACTCGTTGCGTATCTAAGGGAATTGCTATTATTCTTCCTCCTATCCTATTCCTCGCTTCAAGAATTTTTATATTTGTAATTCCATTAGATATTAGGTGATTTGCAGCTGACAATCCAGCAACGCCAGCTCCAATTATTATTACTTTATAGTAGTTTTCCTTATTTTTATTGCTAGCATCTTTAACACTCATTATTCCTTAAAAATAGTGTATTTAATTATTCTAAAATATTTTTTCACCAACTTTAATGTTTTGGATTTAATCGAACTTATTCGTCATGTCTGTCATTATTGAATAATGGGGAAATTACTATGTGGGAGTCTGAATTTTTATACGTTACATAATTTTTCAATAAATCCCATTGTTATGCAAAAAATTGGAGTGTGTCTTGGATAAATTTTCACCGATTTTTTACAAGGGCTTTGTTTTGTTTTGTAAATATTCGAGTGATCAGACATAAAAATCATGGATTCATCTACTCCTATCAAGCGAATAAGGTTTAGAACTGATTCTTTACAAGACAGCGAACCATCATTTGATAATGACTTTTACGATGAGCCATTTAGTACAAAGAATACTGAGATTCCTAAGGAAAGAGGTAATTTGTTGATTTATCGCTATAAAAAATAAATAATAGAGTACACGCAATCAAATTTTCTTCTATATAGAACGCAGTAAATTTGGACTGATGGACTTTTTACGAGTAGAATTAAATAGAGGATATTGTCTGGATCATGACGAAGAGCGATATAGAGCAAGACGAGAGAAAATTTATTCATTTATGAAGATTCCAAGGGAACTAGAAAAGTTTCTTGCGTACGGAATGATGCAGTGCTTTGATTCATTTTTATACATTTTCACATTCTTACCGATAAGATACATACGAGCATTTTGGGCATTACTTACTAGACCAATAATTAGGTGTTTAAAAAGAAGGAGAGATTCACAGAGAATTTTGTCAGCGGCTGAAACTTGTGATTTACTTAAAGGAACTATGTGGATCATTGTCTGTTTTGCATTATTATATGCTGATACAAATATGCTATATCATCTAATTAAGAGTCAGTCAATCATTAAGCTTTATATGTTTTATAATATGCTGGATATTGGTGATCGATTGCTATCAGCTTTTGGCCAAGATATTATGGATGCCTTATATTGGACTGCAACGGAACCAGGAACCACAAGCAAACGACATTTGAGTGTCTTTGCACATTTTGTATTCGCCGTGATTTATATGTTACTGCATAGTATTTTAGTCATGTTCCAAGCAACAGCTTTAAATGTTGCTGTAAATTCAAGTAACAAAGGACTGCTGACAATTATGATGTCCAATAATTTTGTAGAGCTTAAAGGAAGTGTTTTTAAGAAGTTTGACAAAAATAACTTGTTTCAATTGACTTGTGCGGATGTCCGTGAAAGATTTCATTTAGCTATAATGCTAATTATAGTCATGATACAAACTATGCGTGAATACAATTGGAAGTCTGAACAATTCTTCATCATGCTCCCTGACTGCTTTTGGGTACTAGCTACAGAATTTGTTGTGGATTGGATTAAGCATGCATTTATTACCAGATTTAATGAAATTCCAATAGAAGTTTATAGAGAATATACAATCAGCATAGCATATGACGTGACACAGACAAGACAAAAGCATGCATTTTCTGACCATTCAGATTTACTTGCTCGTCGCATTGGCTTAATTCCATTTCCATTGGGGGTAGTTTTAGTTAAAGCTCTTTACCATTCATTGTCATTCAAGAATATTGGCGCATTTGTCATATTCCTAGTCGCATACTCGTGCCTATTCTCATGTCGTGTTTTAAATACAATTTGTACTCTTGGGAAGGCTTGTGATATCATGCAGAAACACCAAGAAGAAAAAATTGCAGAGAAATTAGCAACAACAACAATTAATCAGCCACAGCAGCAGCAACAAATGCCACAACCACCGTCAATAATGAAATCAAAAGTAATGTCACCGAATAGTGAGGGTAAAGTGGATATTTCAACATCACCACTTCATAGAAAGTCAGTACCGACACTTACACAATCTCCAGATGTATCCTCATCATCTCCAAGTCCAACTCGAGTACCTTCCAAATCCAGTCAAGTATTCTCATTATCATCGAACGAAAATAATCTCAAAATAAATTCACAGCTTGGTGCAACAGTCATTTTCTCTAATAGTGACGTGGATTTAGATGATATTGGGATTTTAAACTCAAAAGCCATTGAGCAGAGTGTCGAAGAAAAAATTCACTTGATGGATGATTCGTTAAGGCATCACGGCTCGGAACCTGATTTAGCAAATCTTCCAAATGAGTCGACAGATGAAGAAGAAACGCCGCCAGTTATGTTACGTCGACGATCACATAAACGATCCGAAAGTGAACCATTCATTCAATTAGATACAACAGGTGATCGACTATAGCAAACAAAGACTATGTGGCAGAGACTTATGACTGCTTTAAACCAAAAATTTAATAAGCCGAATGTTTAATAATTATGTCTGCAATTATGATGATGTACTAGTTAAAAACTTTGTTACTTTATATGTTTTATTTGTGTTCGTACCTTGCCTAGTTTATACGATAATAAAAGGTTATAAACTTTTATGCCAGTGATTCTCGATATATAATATCAATGATTTTTCATTATGCTAATAAATCTTTCCGATTGACTTTGGTTATTAAGGAAATATCACTGTGATCAGCTCTTGTATAATTTTCTTCGTCTGTCTATCTTTTGTTTTTAACATTAAAGGTATTTAATAATTGTGAATTTTAATTGATTTCAAAAATTAAAATCTCAACGGTTTTTAAAAATTCAAATTGAAACAATTTCAAAAAGTTCAAATCTTAACGGTTTTCAAAAATTCAAATTGAAACGGTTTTAAAAAGTTCAAATCTTAACGGTTTTCAAAAATTCAAATTGAAACGGTTTTAAAAAGTTCAAATCTTAACGGTTTTAAAAAATTCAAATTGGAACGGTTTTAAAAAATTCAAATCTTAACGGTTTCCAAAAATTCAAATTGGAACGGTTTTAAAAAGTTCACATCTTAACGGGTTCCAAAAATTCAAATTGGAACGGTTTTCAAAAATTGAAGAATTAGGAATTTTGAAAGCTTTCCGTTGATATTGACGTATCGTGTGACTAATAATCAATAATGTGGCTTCCAATCAATGGGGTTTCTTTCTCTCCTTTTCCTCTATAAGTCTATGAGATGGTTTAAAATCTTCTTAAATTTCAAATAAAAAACCGGAATCGATGACTCAATATAATATTAATTTACATCCGATTTGAAGGAATCAGCTGATTACGGTGAAGTAAAAAGAATGTGGACACATGAATGAAGCAGTTAAGAAAAAGAATAAAGGAGAGTGAGAGAGAACGACTCGAAAATGGTTTTTTAAATATATTTTTAATGAATTCATATCTCAATGGGATTAACACGATATACATACATGAAGGAAGACACTCCTTTAAATAAAATAAGAGATTTCTGTTTATCATTGAATTGATGAAGAATTTTTTCTGATGAAGTCAGCAATCAAGCACTATCGAGTGACATTTGATTAGTTCATTGGAATACATATTAAAGCTTACACATAATACGGCTAATTTATGGTCAAATGCTGCTTAACTTTTGGAATTTTAAGAGCTTCTTTCTGACCAGTGTGGCCTGTCTATTGTTTCTTTACAATAGCTATTTAACACGTGACAATATGACGTACGAATATGCATTTTCATTGTCATGGAAAGGGCATTTTGAGCTCAGTTTTTGAAGCACATGATATTATTTTGGAACTTAAAGAGTAACGACTTTTCCAGATTTTGTAAAAACTGCAAACTTCTCTTTTTTCGAAAGCCTTTAAAGTTCAAATTCTCGAAAATCGTTAAAATTTAAACTTTTGGCAGTCGTTATAAGTTCAAAATTTCTTTAATTGTTTTTTTAACATTAAAACTTTAAACAATAAAAGACAAAGTGAAAGAATCAATGCCCCACAAAAAAATTCGCAAATTCGTCAATGTATCAACAAAAAAAGAGTCAAGCGCGCGCCTTTTGTAATTAATGAACTGATGTAGAATCTTCTTTCCTTTATCATTTCATGGTTGAAAATTGTGAGAAATTCTCTTAACAATAGGATCATTGGTGATGTTAAAAAATCAAGAATCATTAATTAAGTCGAGGTGCATTATGGTTTCAGAACGAGAGACAATCGAGAGTGAACAATATCAACAGTGAAAAAGGGAAATAATTTTTATTTTTCTTCAAAGCCAAGAGCAGAATTATCAGAAATAATAAGAATTTCTTTTTCATTTTCGATGGTTTGCCTCACCTTAAATATATTCATTCTTTCCACAGTATTTGTTCATTCAATTCTGTACCATGTTATTCTTAAATGTTCATTTTTATCTCGCTTAACGAAACTGTGTGTAGTTAGGAACGTATTATTATGCATCAAGATGCTGAGACTCTTTTTTGGTTCATCTCTGTATGATCATCTTCACTGGTCTTCTTATCCCCCCTCATTCAACAATTTATTTATTTATTTTCATAAAAAAAAATTATTCTTTCTTTCTTTATTATGAGTCCATCCAGTCAAATATACACTCTCGATTGTCAATTCTTACTTCTTTGTTGTTGTTCTTTTCTTCTTACCTCTTTTATATTATTTTTTATTCAATCCAATATTGTATATACGTTGAGATAGAAACATACATCACGCCGTGTGCCTAAGATGTTAAAAATGAAAAGAACACAATTAACATAAATACACGAAGAGAAGAAATCATAAATTTGTTATCCATTGAGTTTTTATTGATTTCATCTTGCATTAATAGAAGCGGACATTCCAAGGTGTGTGTGCGTATGTGAATTATGACAAAAACAATTAAACTTCTTATGACATATGGCATCGCTACATTATTGAAGAATATTAATTTAATCTCAAATTGAATTATAAAATCCAAAACAGGTGTTTTAGATCATTTCAATTAACCGAGTATTAATTGAGACAATGTGGACTCTACTCTTCCTAACTTACACATGATTTATTAATTTTTTTGCCATAAATGGCATCATTTAATAATTCTTGCATGGTCAGAAAAAAAGAGCTGTAATTGATTTTCCTGCCCTCTCGCAGAGTCGGGATTGGTGATACTAAAGTGTCGAGTTTCAAATTTGTGATTTCAAAGGCGCAGTTCTGATTTTTTGTTTCAACTGAACTTTTGTTTTGAAAAACCTCGAATCTCAAAAAAATTCACCTTTCAGTCAGGTTAACTCAACTAGTAGTTCATCTAATCAATTGTTAATGCCAACAGTTCTAGAATTAGGACAATAAAAATCACATTTTAGTAAATCAATTCGTAAAAGTAACTTATTAAGTTCCTAAAGATCCAAAACAGTTTAAAGCACTTGTGATTCATTGCAACAGTCAATATCAATCACGATTCCTAGCCAGCAATCAAAGTTTGAAAGAGCACAGCATCCCAGATGAGGTTTTGAACATTTTTTTTCCAAAAATTTTATTCAAATTTCTTAGTAAAAGATTGGCTGTTACAATTTATTACTAATCGCATGTCTTGTAGCAGGTTATATGATAACAGTTTTACACATAGACACTCCTTAGTTTGGACTATAGAGTCACAAAAAATATCCAATGTATTCCAAAAAACAACTCGGGTGGTAAACGAACGATATTTATCAGCTTTGTAGCACCACTTTAACATGTTATAATTTTACAAATTTCTATATTAGACAAAATGCAAATGAGCTACAAACTTCAGATTACATTTCCTGGAAACTCCAGTTGAGAAATTTAATTATAATCGAAGTTTAAGCAGAAGAGAATAAATTTTAATTAAAATTTTCTGAAAGAAATGACAATATAGCATCTCGGTATGCCCAAGAGCAGAAGCGCAAGCACAAACACAATTTGTGAAATATAAATCGGAATGAAATTGATCCATCTCGTATACATGTATGCAGATATTTTTACATAAGCAAGAAGCATTTTATGCAACAAAAACGAGTAAAAAGCTGCATCTTTTTTTTTGCGGTGTGAGGTCCTTTTCTTTTTCTTAGAATGATTCGTATTTGGATGCAATTGCAATTAACAAAATATCTGCAAATATTTCGTAATCGAAACCTTGCCCTAGAGAGACAACTAACTTACATACTTGTTGCATTGAAAATGAAGAAATAAAGTAACCATGAACATGCAGAACAGAAGAGAAAGAACCGTTGAGTTCGTATGCATAGCATTAATGAACTTTTTTTTTTGGTACAAAACAAACAACAATTTATGTACATATGCAATTCATTGATGGCTCTTAATTTCTTCTGACAGTCTTATGTACATATAAATTTTTACATTCTGATATTCTGGGGAATTAAAAGTGCATACGTAAATAACATCCAGCAATATGCAAATTTCCGGTTAAAAGGATGAAATTAATTAATAAAAATCTTTACAGATTTTAACCATTTTTTTGGCATTGGAACTTGCCGTGATGAACAATTGTCTCTCTTCAGGAAATTCCTATGGCGATGATGTAAACGCTTTGTTTGTTATTTTAACGATAAATGTGGTGGAAGAAGACTGTTCAGATGAGAAATTAAGAAGTTTATGAAAAAGTCGAGAGACAATTTTGGCGCCTCATTCTTGTTTAAGTTACTTCAAAGCTATGGTACGCCAACGAGTCCTTATTTTCGAAATTGATTTTTTTTGGGACCTTATTTTCGAGCATGAGTTCAAATTTTTTTTTTCACGTTAAATTATTAATGTCTAATCTCTTTAATTAATGGTTTACATATTTGTTTTTCATCATCAAAATGCTAAAAGAATCCACTCAACTGTAATGAATCATTACTGATTTGCTAAACAATTAATGCAAGTGAATTAATGACATTTTAATTTTCAATGTAAACAACAACAAAATTTTTTGAATATTTTTGAAAAAAATCATATTAAACTAATGTTTCCTGCATTTATCATCGATTAAACGATTAAATGAGTGTTGATTAACATAGTAGAAGGATTCGATTCCTAAATAATAAGTGAATTAAGTCAAAAATTGCGAAAAGTTAAAATTTTCATAAAAAATATGATTTTCGAAATTGCGAAATTTTGTTCGAAAAACATTCGAAACAAGTTTAAACTTATTTTGCTCCAACGTTGACATCGTCTCTTGGCATATCATAGCTTCAAAGTACAACTAGAGGTATGACCAATGTTTGCAAAGAAAACAGAGTCCGTTACAAACAAAAAAATTTCAAAATTTTCTTATTTTTTATTTTTTTTAAACTAGCTGTTTTTTAAAGCATAAACATTTGAGGAATGCAATTTCATCACAGTGATAATCTTAATCATAAAAACTAGTAGGAATGTTCACTAAAATTACAAATTACTCGAAAAATAATAATTCACAACGAATTTTTTTAAAAATAAGAACTTCGAAGATTCGATTTTCGAAAAATAAGAACCTCAAAAATTCGAAGTTCGAATAATAAAAACTCAAAAATTTCTGTTTGCTAGCATTGGAGGTATTAGTGAGGATATTAAGAATTACAATAATCTTTTAACAATGATCAAAATTGCAATAAAAGATTGAACAGATATTGATTGACTTTTCAGAAGTAACAAGCCTTAATAGCTCTAAATACCTCTTAATAAATTCACTTTCCACCAGAAGAATTCAAAAGTAAGAACTGGAAGTTATTAATTCAACAACATAACAACACAGGAATTCCAAACGTAGCGCAGTAATCAAGTTGAAATTTATGACTATATAAAACTATTCATATCTGTCCATTTACCATATAAATTGACCCGTCGAATACAAAAACCAAGCTAGTTGACCCCGACTTTAAGAAGCCAGACATCGAGACACTGAAATACTTCAATATATTTTGAATCGAAAGCAGTACCTGTTATTCATAATAAAAATTAATAAATTTTCTCTTGGTGGTTCATTTAGTTATGATGTCCATTAAAGTTGTTGTTTAAAATTGTCTGGATATTAAGTGTATAAATATTCAGTTAACCAAACGCATAACTAGTGTCATGTGGAATTTACTGAGTAGGGGTGTAGTGAAACAATAGGAGTTCAGAGAAATCACAGAAATCTAGCCACTCTTGAAGACATATTCACTTATAACCAATTCAGGTGCTATTTTTTCCATAGATTTAAGATCGGTTCTACGAATATTGTCTAGATGAATTCGCTTTCGGTTGAACAACATTTCAAATTTTTGTCTGAAATTCAGACAGTCTTGTTGGAATAAGTGATTTCATATAATGCCAGTCAACGATAAATCAAGCTAGTGCAAAGGAAACAGATAAAGTGTGTAACTTATGTATGAGATTTAGCGATATATTCTTTTAAAACCCGATAGCTTAGTGATAGAATCATGTGACTGAAAATCGTAGAACGTGGGTTCAAGTCCCAAGAGTTTATCTGTTGTTTTGTCTTCTAGAAGTTTGCCGCTTCCTTCTAGATGTTTCAATAGGTAATTCTTCCATAGCTGAGGCTTGTATGTAGCGATGAAATACTATCAGCAGGATAAGTTGTAGAGCATTGACTTTAGATGCCAAAAGTTCAGAATTCAATCACAGACGTGGTCAATTTTAAAAGTTCCTTTTCTATTTCATCGTTCTAGTAATAAAGTAACTCAGTGGTTAGGTTTACTAGCTTCTTACTGATTTTATTACAGCACCTTAGAATTACTTATATCCTTGTAGTGTGCAGAGCTTGCAAGTAGCTCTTATTCCAATGTTAACTGTAGGTCTCAAGGGCGTGGTAGAATAACCTCTAAAGTAATTAAATTAAGTAAAAATGCCTGCAGTTGAAAATGATAGGCGCTTCCCACAATTTATAAGACAAATAAATCACAAATCTAAGATTCCAACTTGACATCACTTACAAATAACCCGCTTATCTTGTAGCTCTTAAATCTTTTCAAGCCCAGCGCTGATCAATATCACGTTTTGAAAAGTGTTACATTGTATCTTTTTTTATAATTTTATATACATCTAGTGTACGTAAATATGATACATCATTCGACTCTTATTTGAGAAATATTATTGAAAGAAAATATGACGATGCCACTGGTGTTGATGCGGTAGCAAAATTTTGGGTGTGATTTGTAATTTAATATATCTGAAAGAGATCAGTAGTAATAGATATAATAATAATAATATTTGATGTGTTGTATATGACCTGCTGTAAGAAGAAGAAAACGTGAAGAGGATGGTTTGGAGCTTCTGTAAGATGTTAGAGGTAATGAAAGGCATAGTCATAAATTAGTACGAAATCTTTATTTGATGAAAATCTTTCATTGGAAATAAAAATTATGTTATTTATCATTTTGTTCATATTATGTATAACATAAAAATATGTTAAAATTGAGGGATTAAAGTTTTCTTTTTTGCATCTTAATCAATAAATTTAACTAATAAAAATCTCGTTAGATTAAAGAGAACAAAGTTTGTTTATGTTTTGTATTATATAGTTTAACTATATATTAATTGTTATGTCATTAATCTTATTATTAAATAATTTTTTTTGTTTATGTTATATTTGTAGTTAAATAAATTAATTTGTATCATCAAATGATGCAGTCAAACGTAAATTAAATTATCATCGAGTTCATTAGAACAAAAAAAACTTTTTTTTTTATTTTATCATCCTTAATTTTTTATCCATCAATTTTCACACCAATTAGTGACTTTTTTTCATATTTTTTTTTTTTGATAAGGTTTTTTTTTCTTACTTATAAGACGCATTTTTGCAGATATGCATAAGCTAGCTTAGATTCTTGAGTCAGTTTTGAACTGACTATAGTCAATAATGCAGAAATTGACATAATTGACAAATGAACAAGGACATGCCTTCAGTATACTAATGAGTACGTTTAGCTACATGAATTTTAGAAATTCATAAAATAATTTGCTGCAAAAATGCGCTTTAATCATCCGTCGCACGGTGACTTTGTTACTTATATTTTTTTTTTCATCATAAGGAAATCGAAAATATTAATGAGAATCACGAATTTGAATAAAATGTTCTCAATGAGAGTTGAAGAACTATTTTTTTTAATGTGATTTGATTCGAACATTTGATTCATCAACGTGGCACTATGAATGATTTGATTACTTATTATATACACCTAATACACAATTAAATGTATCTTTAAACATATGAATTGATTAAATTTGATTTGTCGAGAAATTCTCATAATTTGAAATATATTTTGTTTTTCACTATCTAATAATATTTTTTTATGCTTCTTATCCTCAAGAACATCTAAATAATCTGATAATTTTTTCCCCTTAATTAGTGTCACAAATTATTATCATTATCATTATTTTTTTCTCATGTTAGCTTAACTATGTTTTTATCAGAAATAGTAATTAAATTGTAAAACATCAACAAAAATATGTAGAAACCTTAATATTCTTTTTTTTTTAACTTGCCTTAACAAAAGTCTCAAGACAGATTTCACAGATATTTTTCGTCAGTATTTAAAATCTAATTGTAAAACATTAATCGTTTTTTTTTTGTTAATATTATTATAATATAGATTTTATTTTAAATTTTATATCAAAGCTTTTTTCTTAAAAATTTTCAAAATAGAGAGAAGAGAAAAATATGTTTTTTTTTTGTTGTGCTGCACAATTTCACAAATGCACGTTTCTAATTTTTGTTTTTTTTTTCCTTCAAAAGTAAATTCTTGTGGCGCTTTGCGACTATTTTTATCATTTTTTTAATATATCTATTAAAAATTTTATATTTTTTTTGTATCTTAAGTTTTCTTTTGTATTTTTATTTTTTTTTTATAAAAAAAAATCATTTAACCTCATTTCGTTTGACGAAAAAGAAGCTGCTGAAGAATATGTTTGTAATTTGTATGACTATTTGTCTTCTTGAATATCAGTTTATCTTGCGATTAGGCCTGCTTATGAGCAAAAGTTATTTTTTCATTTGATTTTAAGATGTTTCCGATTGGTTTTTGGGAAGCTTTTTATAGGCTTTGTAGTTTTAATTGGTTTCATTCCTAAGTTATATTATCTAAAGGAGTTCACCCTATGATTTTATAAGGTTTTTGATATTCTAAACTATACATTTAAAACCAAGGAGTTAACAAAAACAATAATTAGCTTCTACATAATCTCTTTCTTGATCCTAATGCTTAGTACGTTAATGATCCGTTTTATAAACTCTACGAAATAGTTTTTAAAATTGAGCTTTGTTTCGATTAGGACATTTAATATTATTTGAAACTATTCTAGCACATTTTCACAGGAAACAGTTATAAAGCTAGTTGAACAATAGGATGAACCCAAAATTAGAATTTAACAGCAGAGGATCCTCAATATGACTAGATTCTTTTTGAATAGATTCAATTTTAATAAAACTCTTGAACAAATCTGAACTTATGGTAATTCATAACAGAGCTTTTTGTGGCAGATATTTTTCTAGAACTCTTAGCAAACCAGCCTAGTCAATAAATAAATCCCCAAATTTTTAATCGTCATAAATCAAATTAAAAAATTTCAAAATTTATAAAATTGAGCGCAAGGTCGAACATAACCCAAAAGAAAAAAAAAATAATTTTTGAGGTTAGGAAACCCGAATGACTTTTGACATCAAATTAAAAAATAATTTCTGCTCATGTTTTTTGTGTCAAAATATTTCAAAAAATAAATTGTATGTTTTGCTGAAAAACGCTAGTTTTCTTTCCTATGTAATTTTTCTTTCCTTAAAAATATCTTTCACACTTATAACATGCATGTTGTTAATAAATTTTCCATTTGAATTTCAAAAATAAATATTTTAGGTCACTTTTTTTTAATAATGCAATGAGAAACTTCGTCTGAGATTTTTTTTTGTCAATTTTTATTTTTCATAATTTTTTTTTCTCTGAAATATTTTTTTAAGGCCGTCAATGAAACCTGTAAATTTTTTTTTCTACTATATTATCATCATGTTTTTTTTTTTGTTACGTTATGTAGTACCAATATTTCCTTCTCTTATTTCCCTTACTGTTAAATAGATTTTAATAAATTCAACTTTAATTTTTTTTTGTATGTTTATGGCTGATGATACTCTTTGAGCTCTAGATTTTGATTTTGTGATAATTTATGACACTTTCACGCGAGAAGAAAATATTATGTGGCAAGAGATATTTCATGGAATGTTAAATAAATATATTCTTTATATTTTTTTGTGTTTATTTATATGGCAAGTGACTGCAATTTTTTTTGTGTACTCTTTAACAGCGACTGACTTTAAATTTCTTTCATCATCTATCTACATCAATTACTAAATTATCATCTTAATAGTCGTTCAGCATGAGCTTATATATTTGATTTAGCCTACTCTAAAATCATCTCTTTGTCATCTTCCATTGGGGGGGTTGTTCATAAATGACGTTCACAATTTATTTTAATATTTAATCATCCCTCCCCCCTTAGTCAAAAAATTGACGTAGTGTGGCACAAAGCTTCAGTCCCCCATAAGTTGAACATCATTTATTAACGAACCCTAAAGGCTTCTTCATTAAAGACGTCACTTTTTTTTTATCTAAAAGCAGCAGTTAACATTTCTAAGAAATTCTATTGAGCCCCCCTGTGACGTCATTTATGAATAGTTAAGTTGATTGTCGTTATTCCTCGAATTGTGGATGATCCTGTCTATTTAGATTTTATAAATCGGCTTGCCTGGATCACTTACTGTAAATATATTATTCTCGTCATGGAATGACGACAATCGACTTGACTGGAAAATTGACTTTAATTCTCACGAAACATAACAATATATAAATAAATATGAATCTTCAATTTCGTATATGATAATTTATCTACCTCACTTTGTGAAATTCATCTCCTATCTATTTTTAATAATCTTCCGTAAATTTTACTTTTTTTTTTGTTTTATAAACCTTGAGTCTTGGAAAGAAAAATTAATGAAAATTTTTTCTCGTTTTATTTTTGTGTGCTTTTGATAAAAATAAGTCTCTATTTCTTTTATCAAGTGAAACTTCTTGGTACTCTCAGTCAAATTTTAATTTTTTTTTTCGTAAAACTTCAAGAGTGCAAAGAGCTCTAGAGTAACAGTAACATTCTTATTTTAGATGGCACATTATTTAATTCATAGGAAAATTAAAATCATAATTAATTTTAATTGGCTGTCGGTGAGATTTTTAGGGTGGTTGGGGTTATTGTGTAGTAGAAAAGGGTCTCTCTTGAAAAGAGTAAGAGTTCGACATGAATTTTGAATGAACAAAGTTGTCGATTCGGACTCGATCTCATTCAAAATTCATGTCAATTTGGAACTCCATATTTGCATTATATGATTTTCTCATCAATTTTTATGCCTAACTTCCACATTGAAACTCTTGGTATACTTTAGGTTATTTTTGAGAAACCATGGTCCTAAGACTAGTTTTTCAAGTGTTATATATCCAGAGAGAAGGAATGAAGCCAAAAGATGAAGAATTTTGGTAATCAAACTCTTCATTTCCTAGCTTCTATCTTCTTAGCTACTAGCTTCTTAGGCACTAGGTACTAGGTACTAGTTTCTTAGGTACTAGCTTTTATGTACTAGATTCATAGGTACTAGCTCCTAGGTATAAACTTCTAGGTACTAGGATATGTAGCTTCTTAGCTAGGATAGCAACTAGATTCTAAGCTCTTAGCTACTAGCTATTTTCTTCTAGTCTTTTGGACACTTATACGCACCAAAACCTCTGTAAAATTTATAAAACATCCCAATCCCGAGGTTACATCTGCCCTAAATGGTCCAGGTTCTATAAATGATATAATTTTGAAAACCTCTTAATTCAAGGAATTTTAAAAGGTCTAAGAATAGTCCAAAACACCCGACATCCAATCAATTTTCAATGACAAAAATATAAAAAAAAGACAAAAATCCTAAGAATTATGCTTCGCCAATGACAACTTATTATATATAGGCCAATTAGAAATAACATTTAAGAAATGTCATGATATATGCATATATTTTTAATATTTTCTTATTTTTAAGCAAAGACGATTAACAATTTTGCAAAGTTTTACATTCACACATTTTATTAGAAAACATTAAAAAAATTTTTACGATAATTTTGTTCTTAAAATTTCTTTTTTGATAAAAAATTCGTCTGCAAAAAAATTTGCATTTTTCTGTTTTCATTAAAAATGAATTTTAAATTTTCTCGCGGAGAAAAATTTTTTCTTCTTGTATTAAACACGAATTTTTATTCTTTTTTTTTGTTCTAATATATAAATTTGAAAGATATTTGTTGATATATTCACGTATTTAAAATGCAATGATTTCATGTTCAAATTCAGGAAAACAAGTTACATGTATTTTTATTGTAGAGATAAAAAATTTTAATTTGTTTCCATTGACGATTCAATTCTTCATTCTTAATATAGCTAGTACACATGTATGAAAAATGTGAAGAAAGAAAACTTAAGAAAATTGCACTCTTTTGAAGTTTTGTTGTTTGTTTTCAATGCCATGCGAATTTGAAATTTGTAAGAATTTTTTTCCCGAAAAAAGAAACGATATTATAGATTTTTTTTTTTCGTATAAAAATATAATGCAACATAAAAATATATATGTATAGTTTATATATCTATTATTTTGAGATCACAGTAAAGATTTTTTTAGTTATCATTATAATTTTCTTTCGTATAGAGAGTTTGATCATGTTTTATAAAGTACAAATAGAATCAATTATTATTTCTAGTGGCTTAACATCAGATTGATGCTTTACCCCTGTATATTTTGTTAAAAGAGATGCTTAAAATGAGTAAAAAGTTGAGTTTTGCGACAAAGAGGAAAGTTAAAATTTTAACAAGTTTTGTCAATTTTGAATTAGGAATACAACTAGTAAGAAGTTATTAACCCCTCTGAATTCAAAATTAGATTCAATCGTTAAAAATTTAACTTTCTCAAAATTTCGATAATTCGCATTGAGTAATAAAAAAAAATAATCTCATTTTAACATTTTGTTACTTGAATGTTGCAATGTAAGTAATAATTAGTGCCTTTACGCTAGGATTCTTGAAAGTTATTTCCTTAAAGTTATCATTTATAATTTTTTTTTGTTCGAATTATTTTTTATGCCTTTTTATTTTTTATAACATTTTTCATATTTTTTTTTTGAGGCTTTATAGCTTAGTCTTAAAATTATCTTGACTTTTTTTCTTGAATGATACGAATGGCATTTGATTTTATTGCACTTTTAATCAAGTTTATTAAAAATTGAGAATGTTTGATATTTTCTTGGAATGTCCACCAAAAGAGGACTTCCACTATAAGTTGGAACTAAGGATCAATAATCCTCAATTTTAAACAAACAGTTATTTGTGTACGTACATTCAGTTTCCAGTCGTCGATTCAGATATTGCGATTTGCCGAAGAGAAGTTTTCGTGAGCAGAAGTTTTTTCCATATTATGTGTTATTGATTGGCTGGTTTCTCTGTAATGATGCAAAAAATGTGTGTTTCTTCTTCTATCTAATTATGTACTTTTTGTGTTCAATTTCCCCTGTTAAATGCTCTACAACAGAACAAATATTATCTTTTTTTGGCACTTTGAGTTGTTTCTCCAATAGAATAACAATCTTCATCTTCTTATTGAGTTTCAGTAGAATTCGAAATGAAAATTGAGAATTGGAAATTTTGCTCGAAGGAAATAGAGAGAGAAAGAGAGAGGTGAGTGTGCTTATATCCAGCATTCTAATTCACATATAAGACAATAACATCTAAACTGCTATCTTCACAACTAATTTCATAATCGTTGGGACACGATGTTGGGATGGTTGGAACAACTTGATCAATTTCTTCGTCATCGATTTCAACTTTGAATTGCATCGGATGAATCTTTATAGTATCTTGATCCTCATTATAGCCCATAAAGACATCATCTTTTACATCAGATAAGTCAAATGTTGTTGATGCTGACATGTTGTTGTTGTTGCATTCATCCTCATCGTAATCATCGTCATCATATCGCAATACATCAATCGACGATTCGTCGGTCTACAAAGATGTCGTTGTGTTTATCGACGGTGGAATAAGTGGTAAGCCAGAAATGTCTTGCAAATGATGATGAGAAATTGTTTGATGATGATTGTTGTTATTATTATTGTTATTATTATTATTTTGATTCAATTTCTCTTTCTTTATTCGCTGCTTTAGATGAACTTTTGCATGTCTTTTCTTCTCATCAGATCGTGCGAATTTACGTCCACAAGTGTCACAGCTGTATATTGTAAATATTTAAAGTATTAATATTGAATTTCAATAAAATGAGTCGTGGGATTGTTTTAATTGAGACTCTGAGGTTAGTAGCCGGAAAATTAATGATTTACTCGGAACTGCTGCTTTTTGAAATTCTCAAGAAGTTCCCAAAAGCTTTCTTAATAGAATTTAATTCTCAATGAAGGGTTAAGTCTCATTGTGGGAGTTAATGAATGATGATTTTTTAACAAATTAAGGATATTATAAGATATTAGCTTACCTGAAAGGTTTCTCGCCAGTATGGGTACGAATATGTGTCGTGAGGTGATCCGAACGACTAAAGCTGCGCATACAAATTCTACAGGAAAATGGTTTCTGACCTATGAACATTGAAAAAAATTTATTAAAACACCTCCAAGCAAATTGCTTATCGTCTATAATACCTGTATGGATACGAATATGTCTGGTTAATTCATCAGATCGAGAGAATCGACGATCGCAATTTTCAACGGGACAAGCATATGGACGCTCGTGCACAGGGGTTTTAGAAGGACGATTTGGATATTTGCGAGGCTTAACAGGGACTAGTTTCAATGGTATTGGGCTTTGTTGATAAACTTGAGATAAAATTTCATGGCCTTTACTTGTTGCTTGATTATACTCAGCTAATTGAACTGGATATGGTGGTTGTGATTGGGATTGCATATGACTTGAGTCACTCGTTTGACAGGAATTTGGCGTCGAGTAAGGTTCTTGTTTTGGGATTAAAACAGAATTTGATGATGTGGATGATGTCGATTGCTCCTGCTGAATAAATTGTTGTTGATTTTGTTGTGGAGATCCATATTCAACAGGTGAATCAAGCCATTGATATTTTGGTGCACCTAAGCCCTCACTTCGTGAATATTGATGCATTTCCTGTTGTTGTAATTCAATCGATGAGAGAGATGTAGGAACAACACATGCGCCATAATTTGTGGGTTGTTTTAATAATATGTTGCTGGTGTCCATATTCATACCCAATAACTCTACCTGATGATGGGATGGTCTATCGTCGTAATGATGATGTCCACTTTGTGAACTTGAGCCGAAATGAGACTGAGGTGTATTTTGTGTTGTACTAAATAAGCTAAACATTGGTTGTTGGAAAAGCGTCTTATCGGGACTCGGTAATGTCCAGTTTAAACTCGACGCTGATGGTGGTGACATTTGACTTGGCATAATTGTCAAGTGAGATGAAATGTGTGTACCAACAAGCCCCATATTACTGTTACTTCCATTTGGACTAGCACCAGGACCTGCAGTTGCAAAAACACCACGATAAGAAATTTTATTATTCTCATGATGGTGTTCATGTGGATTTGGCGTTTGTGTGTTTGTGTTATTGTGCATGTGATCATGATTTGTTATAGTATGTTGATGATTGATATTATTATTATTTATATTGTTATGTAGATGAAGATGATTTTGTGGGTGAATATTGTGAATTGATTGAAGCTGATGATGATGATGATGATGATGATTGTGTTGGTGATGATGATTTGTATAAGAATGTGAATTAACACTATTGCTATTATTACTTGTTTCTTCTTCCACGATAATCGTTGGTGGTGTAATGCGTTCTTGCTTTGAAGGACTGCATAAGCTGGCAGGACTAGACACATTTTGCGGCTCTAATGATAAGTCTTCTGACTCTATTGAGCCTGTAAATAAAATTGATAAGATAATGTATGGTTAATTAACCTTCGCTATATGTGGCTTATTTTTAACCGTGAGCTTGCTTTCTTTCTTTCTGTACAGTCTATACCAGTGCTTCTTAAACCACTGCTTTTCAGGTCACGAAACAATAATTCATATTTCTATGCCAAAGGAGCTTCGAGAATTTTCAGTAGTAAATCGAGGATCATAGTTTGAGAAGCACTGACCTGTATAGTCTCTCTGTTACTTAAACCTCAATGCTGCATTAATTCATTGAGATATCATTGTTCATTCAATGTATGTCTCTCTCCTTCTCCATATACTCTTGCTTACTTAAATCTGACGTTATCTCTCAACTATTCCTATTTAAATTCCTCTATACTACTACTTCTTTTTATTCTACACACATTGTGAGCTCTCGAAATAAAAATATTTTCCTTTTAAAATTCTCATAATAAAATTTTTTAAATTGCTTTCATGATAGTGATAATTTGTTTCCTTATTTGAAAAACATTTCTATACTCAGCATAGCGCAGAACAGAAGAGTTCTCATAAACAGTAGCTCAGACAAGAACATACACAATGATCATTGTTGAATTTCTTTATCTCTATTAACATAAGTCTCATTTATTAAGCATAATCGCTGTCACAATTAAGATACTTTTATTTTTTCCGTATCCATTATTCTTAATGGAGGAATTATGTGTAATATAATTGAGATCCGTAGGATCAATAGCCGAAAATAATTTAAATCGTATCTTTGATTGCTTCTTAATATAGAATGGCTATTTTAATTTTTTAATAGCGGTAAATGTCTTTATAAATTGCAGATCTTGTGTTGTCCTAAGTAATATAATACAATTACAGTTCCAAACTCAGGAATTGGTCTTAATCGCTATTACAATTTTTTTTTAAATCAACCAGATTATTTTTGAATTTGAGCTCGAACACGTTACAGATCCTAATAATTGACATCTCAAAAGTGAACGACTCCTTTGAAATTCTCAACTTATGTTAACTATTAGAAACTAATCTTACACATCTAACATTAAAATAATCAGCAATGCCACCATGCTACTAGATATTTATCCTTTATAATTCTAAATTATCGCAAAAATTGCCATAAAATGCGTAAACATTTATTACCAGTTGATTACTGACACTAAACAGCAACAACCTGTTGAAGAATTTTATTATGGGGGATTAGCACACATCTCGAGTAAAGAGAGCAAACTTTATTGTCTATAACCTTGACTTTAAACTGCACTTTTTTTTTCTCCGATACAGATCATCGATAAATGAATTTTTATTGCAATTTCATTTTATCATCACTTTATTATGTTCCCTTATTTTCCACTTGCCAGACCCATGATTCCAATAATGAGATTAAAATGTTGCATTTTTTAACAATTGACAGAAAATGGCCATTTTAGAGTATTACTTTATGATAGTAAAATGCTTACTTAATATCACTTCGCCATATCAGAATAGTAGATATTTTCACAATGTGAAATAAACTATAAAATATATATACATTACTTTTTTTTTCTCCTTCATTACTAAAAAAATTGAAATAGGAGATGCATTTGTATATGGAAAATTACAGAAATGTATAAATAAAGATTTCTTTTTTCATAACGAAATAATCCGAATTGAAACAGGCTTACGGTGAGTGTACGCTGACTCAATTCAATAGGCAATGATCTTCTTCTATAAATTAATTGTCCAAATAGTTCATAATAAGCGGTTGACTAGTATTTTTGAAACTGATTTTTTGTTGGAGTTTGTAGTGTCAAGTGCTCATTTTGTCTTGACTGAATAGCTGGATGTGTGATTAGTATCAGTAAGTAATTTTAGGGATTAAAAAAATTGCTATGGTTTGGAATCGAACTTACTACCAAATGGTACAAGCCTAAGATTTTATAAACTAGACCACAAAACTATTTGAATTTTTATGGCGAATTTTCAATATAAATAATTTTTTTAATGCCTCGAACTTAATCTTGCTTTACTTCTTTAATCTAATCTCATGTCATTGAAAAATGCTCTCTAAACACTCACAACTACTGACGAAAATTACTAGTTTCCTTATTTTTAAAGAATTGGTTAAGAAGAGAAATAATGAACATATTTAGAGACATAGAAAGCAACTGAGGGATATAAATATATATAGAAAGAATAAAAAACATTCATTGAGACAATGAAATATGTTATACACATATGTATACTACTTTAAAATGGTTAAATGAAGCGGGAAGTACAAAACAATTGACATTTGCGTTTTGGGAAATAAAAAATAACAAAATCTATAGGATTTAAATGCGATGTAAGAACAAGAATTTCTATGGTCATTTCCTTATTTGAAAATATATTTCTGTACTGTAATTTTTTTTAGTTCTGAATGTTACATTTTAGTTTTAAACACGCACTTCGGAACGGTTATAGAATGAATATATATTATAATCTGATGGCAATTGCCGTCTTATTTTTTTATTAAATAAACTCAAATGTCTCGATTCTCTTCCATAATAATATTATCATTGAAAGCGATCAATGTTCTACATCTGATCCTTTCAAAATGATAAAAATCAAATTTCGTTCCAATAAAAAAGAGGCTGGACAAGAATAAATATTAACATTTTTTTCTGATCACATTGAAGTTATGGTTTGATGCCACATGAGTGAAAGAAATATGAATTGTTTAATATTCTCAAATGTCATTTATTAAGAGCATTATAATTATTTATTTTGATTCTTTTTCAAGCCATTCTCTTGCTCTACTCTTCTGTTTCTTCATTTTCGCTCTTTTTTGTTTATTTATTTGGACTTTTCAAGTCCTATTCAGTCGCGCGTCTACTTCTTCTTTATTTTTGAATGAAGAAATGTTAAAGAGGAGAAAATAACATCCACTGGAAGACAAGACGTGAAAACTTTATGAAGGAATTTACGAAATTTCAGTTAAAAATCAAATAAAATAAATTTGAATTACAAAGTTTGAACAAAATATGAAATTTAAAAGTTTAAAATAATTTCGTCAGATTTTTGGAGATAATGATTACACGTTGAAGTTCGTTATTAGATTCGAACTCTTGACTTTTGCTTCACAGAAATCATTTTTATTCAATGCGTATCCATTTGAGCCAGTATTTTTTTATTTCAATGTTTATGTCAACTGGCTAAATCAAGGACTCAATAATAAACATTTTATTGCAGAAATAATGCTAGTGGTAAATTACTTATCAATTGTCCCCTTCCCCTTCAAACTAAAATTAAAATCGAAAAAATTTCAAAAGTTTTAAATATAACCCTGACTCAAGGTAATAATTTTAAACCAAATAAAGCATAACTCATAAAATAATTGAGTTAAAATAAATTCCCAATGGGAAATGAAATACCAAAAAAGAAACCCAAGCTAGTGCGATATTATGAAGATATATGTATTTTTGATTTTTACACAATATCAAGTTATTTCCTCTTTCTCTCCAATTCATGTACTTAAAAGAGTGCTTATACAATTCCTGATTGTCCTTACTTGATCAGTCATTATTCATAAAGGAACATGATGCAAAATCAAAATAGGTATGCAAATGTGACAAAGAAACTTACTAACATTGATTAATTATGTTTAAACATTTTTTAATGCTTTATTTAATGATAAAGGGTCAATAAATTGTTAATTATATCGTTCACCAAGAACAAGAAATTCTTCTCAATTTAAAGATTAAAAAAAAAGGAGAAAATGCAAAAAAAAAATTTATTTATTATCAGAAGATCCAAAAACACATGATGGGGTTGAATTTTGCGCTTGTAAATATTATGATTTAATTGCAGAATAATTTTTCAAAATCACAGTTGGAATGCTTTGAAGCAACTGCAATAATATTTATGAATAATTGAATTCAGAAATGAAGGCATTAATAAACACTCGTGGTAGCACTCGCACTCTGAAGAGAAAAACCTTTTTTCTTATTCCTGATACTTCAGCAGACTATTTGTAAACATTTTATGCATCTTGAGGAGATAAACGTTGTTTGCATCATCATGATGTATGGATGTGTGGCAAGTAAGTAAGTAAGTAAGCAAGCGAAGCAGAAGAAGAATGGAAGAATGAGAAACGCGATCAAGGAATGATAAGCGAGTTCCACTAAACGTGCATACATACATATGCATACATTCGCTGTGAATTAATTGATTTTGGTTACTGTTTTTTTTTTATTTCATATATTTTGCAAGCAGTAAGAGCCAGGCAGTAAGAGCGGTAGAGTAGAAAATTGACAATAATTCTTAAAACGATCTACACTCGTTTTCAGTGTAAATGAATTATATACTCATATGTGGGGTTTGTACGGATGTTCGGAAACACTAAAAACAAAGGTTAATTTGAGATCTTCAAGCAAACTTCATTAAAGATTCATCATGAGGATTTGATTCAGAGATGGAGGAATCACTTCATTAGCGTTACGGAACATCCAAACAACTCCCACGTATACGGCTCATATGACTCTATAAAGACAGAATCAAGCTAGTGATTAAATTATAATTAATAGATCCAACATTAGCTCGTAACAGCAATAATATATTAAATACTCTCATTGCTCGCTGCCTTATTGACTTTCAAACAAAACTCGCAAGAGAAATGTCTCGCGATACGGAAAGTTTGCTACTGTTTAGCTGCTATTTTTCATCGCATTTACTCTTTCTTAGCTAGAATATTAATTATTGTCAAATCGTAACAAACTGTCAATTTTCAAGGCTTGAGGCATCTACAAGTTGTCACACATAATGAAGACTGATTTGATTAAAATCATGCATCACTGATTGCGTCTTAACTTTTGATATTTTAAACTTGAAAAGTTTGCACATCCAGAAATGTCAAATGGATGTTCTATTGGCACACTAAGAAATCAGGCTTTGTTGCTTTCATGGATATAAAAATTGCTAGGAAACAAATCACAAAGATTTCTTTCATTTCTTCTTTTGTCTCTTACTCTCGTAAAGTAAGTTATTGATAAGTCCACGATTCCGGTTTTAGTTTATGTGCCCGATATTTTGTGCCTTTTAATTTATTTAGTTTCATTAAAATATTTTTCATTCTATAAACTCAACTCGAACGAGCGTTAAATAAAGAAGAGTTATAATACAATAAACTGAATATAAAATAAAATAAAAGCTACAAAAAAAGAGCAAAGTGATCTACAAGAATTTAATTTCCATATATTCCAATACACAGCATAATATATCGGGCATAAAAATAGAGTATGCATGTAAATAAGCCTCAATAGTTTTTGCTTTTACGAATAAAAGCTATAAATTGAAGGCATCAAGTCAAGGTTATGGATGTTTGAATGCTCAAGATGTGGCGTTAAAAGAAACTTACAAGTTGAAAATGGGAATTAAATGCTACATCCCAGGGGTAAGATTGTCAGCTCGGCTGTCTTTTGTGTGGATTTAGGTTTAGAATTAATAAAATCGGAATAAATTTTCATTTTGAAAATTTTGAGAAACGAACTTCTAGCTTCATATTTTTTTATCAAATTTTATAATTCTTATAATTTTAATATTTTGAGAATCTTGCGAAGATTAGCTTTTAAGCTATTGAAATTATAAAAAGAATCCAAATTTTAAAAATGAGCAAAAAAATTTCAGAAAGATTAAAACCAATTCCGCAAAAAGCTTCTTAAAAATTATTTTTAAGCTTCAAAGAATTACGAAAAATTATTACAGGTCGCAAAAAAGTTTGTGGTTATCAACCCCAGAGTTGAAAATATTCAAAGCTATTTTTAATATCTTTACATGATGTGAAAGTCTCTCTCCATCTCTCTGTGAAGATGATGATGAAGAGGAAAGAGACTAGTATAAAATATGCACAAGATGTATTGTAAGAGAGTAATTGGAGAATTCTAAATTTAATTAATGTAGTTTCAAAGTTAAATTGACGACTGTATATTGTATTTTTATTGGCATGATTCTTGTTTCGTTTTCTTATATTCATTTAGCGATCATATTTTTTATTTTTATATATTTTTTTTTTCTCTATCCACTTTCAATCGAAATCGCCGACGGTGTTTATGTTATACTTTGTATGTAAATGCGATTTTTGTGTTTCAAATCATTGATCGTGGATGGACGTTACACTGGCTATATTACATTCATGAATATTGTGTGTATATACGATAGAGAACAAGAGAGGCACGAGTAATTTGTATATATGATATGTTCACATCCAGAAGAAAGCTTTACAGTTAAATTCATTAATTTTACATTGATCAGCATATGGATAGTAAGCTTATTGAAAGGGAGAATTCTTATCGTTTGTCGTTTTTCATGCGAAAAAAAAAAACGTAAGACTTACCAGTAATAATCGGTGGCTCAACGACCGTAGATGGTCCGAAGAATGACGGTATATCACTTGATGTAGTCACAGGCGTATTTAAATCACCAGTTTGTAAATGTTGACTGCGATCAGCTGTTTGCTGTTGACTTTCTGGTAAATTCAATGTGGGATGCGAATGATGTCCACTTGTCGATGATGTTGTTGTTATTGTAGCGGTTGATGAGACAACTGTTGAATCTGTCTTTGATGTTTGGGTCACCGAGGTGGAGGAATGTGAACTTGTGTTGATGCTACTGTTGTGTGATGATGTATTGACGGTGCTTGTTTGTAGATTTTGTTGACTCGCTGATTGCTGATGCTGATGCTGATGCATTTGTTGCTGATGATGATTTTGACTACTTATCAAGTGTGTTTGCGATGGATGATGATTATTATTTGTTATCGTATGATTATTATTATTCAAATTAAATGAACTTGCTGTTGTCGCTGCCGTTTTAAATAGACTGCATGTATCGAAACTTAGCACATTAAAATGCGCTGCTGCTGCCGACTCAGTTAAAAGATAGGCATGGTGAGATGGGGTCACTAGGGTTTCTAAACCTTCCATAATCATGGCCGTAGTTGGTGCTGGAGCAGCTGGAGAACTGCCTATAAATAGTGACAAGGAAACCGAATAAAATTAATAAAATTGCACTGCTGCATGTGTGTAAATAAACTTATACACTAAATAAATTCAATTGCAAGGTCTTTTGTAGAAAATTTGTTCCATTAATTGAATCTATTTTTTTCTGTTGTTTTGAGCGAGACGCGCGACTCTCACTGCCAGAGAAGAACTTTAATTAATTAATTTAATGTCTTTTAACAATTGACACTTGACTTCGCATACAACTATGATTATGCACTCATGTAAGCTATACGACATATATGTATGGTCGAACATATGAATGAAATTGTAGAAATTGTAAGTACAAATAAAATTATCAGCTCACAACATTTTAGGTCAAAGAATGAAATAGCTTCACAGAAATAAATTTCAATCAATGAAAAAGAGAGGAGCATGATGATGATGATGTCGATGATATAAAAAAATTGGTTATCGAATTACAAATTAAGAATCGGATATTTTACGCAATGTGTCAGTGATGTAATACATTGGGTATTAATGAACAATCTATAGTTTAAATGCAACATATGGTCACGTATAATATGGTATGCATTTATAATTTATATAGCTTGATTGAATGCATTTTGCTTAAGATTATTGGTTTAGTGAATGTCTAACGCTGACTTTTGGAATGCTGTCTTTTTTGTGATTATTTGAAAAATTAATTTTGAAATTTTTATTGTAAACTTTTTAAATTTATCAAATTTCTTGTAGATATTCTACATGTTAAGCTCAATATTGCTAAAAATAAAATCATATGGCTAAGCCACTATACCATGGAAATCTGTAGAGAGTTAAACTAGTGACGACTTAATGCTTGTTAACATAATACATCAATTAACAGATTTTTCTCGTGGTTAATTAAGCTACCATATAGCATGTTTCCTGTGTGATGATAAGACACAATGAGAACGTGATGATGGGATCGCTTACCGACAAAAAATAAAGACCTATTCTTGAGAGATATGCTAATTGAAAAATAAATTTATTGACTTTTCTAATTTGTATAGTGATTAGTTTCATTCATTTATGAATCTCATTAAAAGGGGCCGAGATCTTTCACTTCTCACAGTAATGAAAATATAATAGAAATGTACAAACAATATCTTTGGAAGTAGATGAAAGAGAGGTGTTTTCTGGCTCTTTTGTTTAGCTGTTATTTTTTTAAACAAAAAATTATTATACTATTAAAACTCAAAGACGCCATACGCCCACAAATATTATTTTAAAAGAAGTTTGGAGATACCAAAATGTATAATCGATAGGTTGTCTTTCGTCTTTAATTTTTTTTTTATTTCCACTTCCTAATTCGGAAACATCACTTAAATAAAGTTTCTTTTCTCAACTCATACTTTTCTTCTCGTCATACAATTAAGCTGGCTCTTTTTTTGTGACTTTTAAAGGTACTTCTTAATTTGGACATATCCACAACCCAAAATTGTATGCAAAACGCTCTTTTCGTCCAATCAATGATTAGGAATCTGATTGGATTCCTGGAGATGGAATAACACATATATAAAGCCTTAATTTCATCAAGATCACTTAACATTGTTCCTTTTGAATGACGCTTGATAGTTTAATTTAATGACTATCAACCATATAAAGCTCAACAAGATGGTTGTAATATTAAAAATATTGACTCAGCGATCGTCCACAAATTTTTTTTTTATTTTTTATTTTTTCGTTGTTGATGTCTTTGTATTTGATTCCGCGAATTATAAAAAAAATCGACAACTTCCTGAATAATTTGTTTTTATTTTTTTAATTTTTTCACAGAACTTTATTTTAATTAGGATTGTCTTGAGCACTAATAATACACTAAACTAGCTATATATGGAAGATTAATAACAAGTTTGATTGGAAAAATAAGAAGGGATGAAACTTTTTTTTTTGTATTGATATAATCTTCCAATAAAAATAATTAATAAGTTTAGTTTGGAAAAAGTATATGTTGTCGAAGCAGCAGTTATCTAATTGACTAAAAACAGAAGCAGATTTACTTTTTTGTCATCAAGTGAAAGTAGAGATAGAAAAGAAAACGAAGCTCCCACAAGCAATTCGAGAGAGTTTTCCAACATGGCGAAAAATGCTTTTTTCTTCTTCTTGTTCGCCCACGACTTATACGGATAGCAGGAGAGCAACCGTGTTCATCAAGGAAAAAAAATAAGCAAGTAAGATTCTTCATGCGATGCCATTTTTCTGGTTCATAAAGACATGGAATTCATTTCATTTACTTTATAATATCTTCGAGGAAGGATAAAAAGTTTTGAGGGGAAAGGTCGATGCCGCTTTCCTGGCATTTTTTTTTATATTCTCTTAAACTTCACATATCTTAAGGACATTATTTTTCCCTCATCGGTATATTTTCGAGTTTTAAAATGGGATAGCATGGGTAGCAACAGCAGGTTTTTGTGAATATAGAAATGGGATAACAAGAGATAAAGCCGAACGAAGAGCAACAAGTGGGAACATACGAAGTAGATTTTTTTTTCTTCATATTATTTTGATTCTATGTATATTTCTAGACAACATAAGAAAAAAAAGAAATCATCAATGATTTTCTGAACAATGCAGGAAGTGCGCAAGCGTCAAAAAGATTTCATTCAAGAAATTTTTGACTTGCAAAAGTGAGCGAAGCTTCGGAATGAAAGCGCACTTTGGTTGCTACTTTTTGTTTTCTATCGAATGATAATGATGATGATGATGATGCTGCAAAGGATATGTGAGAATTTCCCCTGTTAAATATTTTTGCTTGTTTCTAAAAATGGAAATAAAAATCTGCTCCCGCTACATCATCGCCTCGCAACGATAGAGCATTGAGTCGGCTATAGCAGGCAAAAAAAAGGGATGAGAGGACGTATAACCTTGATAATGACTCTCATTCCTATGCCCTTCTCTGACGTCATATTTATCCTTCATTCGCTTTCTCTTCTCTCATTTCCTTTTCACTACTGCGCTTCTCAAAACTTTTTCCTTAATTTTTCATTCTTTTTATTTTTATTATTATTATCATCATCTCATTGATACTTGTGCTGTATATTTATGCTTGTGTAAAAGAATCCCAAAAGAATTTGAATAATTACTCAGACAATAAAGAAATAAGTGTGATTTTAAAAGCGAACGACATGTCTAATTGCTCTCGAAATTTTATTCGCACTTTGCAATGACTTTCTTTCTTGTCTCTCATACTTTTTTTTTTCAGGGAGTGCCAAGGGAATTTTGGTGAGCGTTGATGTGATTTTTTTTTTGAGCGAGTTTTGAAGGTGTTTTGGAATTTTTTAGGGAGTTGATTGAATTGATGATTAAGTGATGGAATTCTGAGTCATTTTGAATTCTTTTGGTGGATGGTATCAGATTAAAGAGGTTGAGAAGCACTGGAAATTTTATTTTTCATTTTTTAAACTATTTCTAAAGACTGTTAAATAGTTAAAGAAGGATTTCGTTGATTCTGTTTGATGTATAATAGTTATTAAGGTATATTGAGATAATCATTGACTAGTTTAGTGCATATTGTAGAAGAAATAAGAAATCACCAGCATAATCTAAACAACAGAATATTTTACATAACATTTGTATCCAAAATAAGATTGAATCATCGAAAAAACCACAAAATAATCAAAACTGCAATTTTCTATTGGCAAACCTAGCAATATTATATTTCTTACACTTGTTTCGGGACATATAAGAGCTCTAAAAATATTCATTTCATCTTTGAAACAACAACTGATGTGAAACATTAAGCGACATCATGAAAAGTAATTAAGTAATCTCTAGTGAGATTCCTTCTTTTCTTTTCTTTAAATAATACTTAATATTTATCTTGTGAAGATATATTTTATGAATATGCACATACAAATATATTTTTTCTCACTCAGCTGTATGGATTGATTTACGGCTTTTACTGAACTGTTTTTTCTATTTTGGAATTGGAGAAAATTCTCTTACATGACTTCATCATAATAAACGATTTAATTTCTGCGCAATTTTATTTACAAAATAAATACGAATAATAATGGCCCAAAAAGTGATGTAAATCATTGAGGCAATGCTTCTTATTAATTAATGTTAATTTTCTTCTGTTTATTTTACGTAGAAAAATAAATTCTTTTTTTGTTGGAAAAATTGCAAATTTAATTTTTTTCGCTATTTTTAGTTTTTCTCCGCCGGTGAATAATTTACGAATATTTATAATAAATGAATCACTCATAATATTTACCTTCACTTTGCACTGAAATATTTTGAAAATCTCTAACAAGAGAGACTCACACGGATGAATTTTTTTAAATATTTTTCTTGTCTTGTTCTGTTTTTGGAAGTTGTAGAAACTCCCAAAAAATATATATATTTTTATTATTATTTTGCACACACTTTGAGTATCTTAAGAGACACCGTATGTCTGTATGAATTAATATTTGTTGAATGGAAAATTGATTTTTTTCTCTTTTTTTCTCACTCCGAAGTATTTTTTTTTACAAATTGGGGGGTATTTTAGTAGGTTCACTGCCACCTACGCGCACACACCAAAAAAAATTCATTCATAAAAAAACTCTTTTTATGCAAAATAGCACTAAAGAAACTTGTTTCTTGCTTTTGTCGTTACACAATGAATGAAATTGTGTAAATACTCAAGACTTTATGATTGAAAAGATTTCACAACAAGGATTTATGATTTTTCTTCTATTAATCCGCCTACAATGGTCAGATATCGTTCATTGATAATGTATGATGAGCACACGGGAGTTAAGATTCTCTAACTTCTTCCATAAAAATCAATTTATTGTTCACATTTACACCGACTTAATGATTTTATTTATTTTTTTCACTCGGCTTTTTTTTTATTTTTCGTCCAGTTTCTTCTTGAATTTATTATGATAATATAAACTGACTTAAGTGTGATATAAATTCACTCTTAAATATTTATTATTTCCCGTATTAACTACACGCGTAAATAAAATATTCACGCAAATTATTTTTCTACTTAAAT